CAGAAAGGCGGGGCATAGAGGAGAAACAATAATGTACAGTATGTGGAAAATAATGTGTTTTTTGAACCTTAAACCGCATAAACACATTTCATTACACCAAATACACAAAATAATGTTCTTTTTAGCAACATCATATGACCCCTTTAAAGATGAAGTAGGCTACGGAAGGACAATTATCCAAACCTTGTCAGACTACTGCAGTTTGCACTCATGCTGCCCATTGGTTCGGCTACATCAGAAAGTTTCTCAGTTATGAGGAGAATCTGGCTCCGATCTTCAGTGGTACAGGACAGATTCTCAGATCTTTCTTTACTGCACACAGAGAACGATTTGACTGAAAAACTATCAGAAGAAAAGAGATGGTGAAAGAAAGACAGTGGTCATCTACGCAATTCGGAAACAGAGGTTTCAATTATTGGACCGAAAACCTCCGCATGTAATAACCTAGAACACTGTCTAACACTTGATGGCTGCTCTGTCAATTCTTCGTCATCAGTTAGGAACCTAGGTGTGCTATTTGATAGCAATCTTTCCTTCGAAAACCACGTTTCTAGCATTTCTAAAACTGGATTTTTCCATCTTAAAATATATATCTAAATTACGACCTATGCTCTCAATGTCAAATGCAGAAACCTTAATTCATGCATTCATGACCTCAAGGTTAGATTATTGCAATGCTTTATTGGGTGGTTGTTCTGCACGCTTAATAAACAAACTCCAGCTGGTCTTGAAGATGGCTAAGGACTCAGCTGCTGGGCAGATCCAGTCTGTATCCAGATCAGATGGTGGATCCGCACCTAGAGACGACCTCTACAGCCCTGAATGTCAGCGGAGACCAAGTCAACTAGATGCGCTCCAGAGACAGATCCCCTGCAAAGACCTCATCACCTCGACGGCCATCAGCACAAGACCACGGGAACCAGACGAGTCCTCTGCACAATCTGACCTGTGTTGCAGCGTGGAATTAAACCACATCATGCTGGTTTCATCTGTCCAGAGGAGAACTGGCCCCCGACTGAGCCTGGTTTCACCCGTATTTTCTCTCTCCATTTTTGTCACTGATGGAGTTTTGATTTCTTGCCACCGTCACCTTTGGCTTAACTGTTATGCTGATGATACTCAGCTCTATATTTCTTCGTGGCCCGATGAAACATACAAATTCGCAAAACTAACAGAATGCATAGTTGATATAAAACACTGGATGACTAGAAATTTCCTACTGCTAAAATCTGAAAAAAAAAAAAACAGGTTTTAATTATTGGACCAAAAACCTCCGCATGTAATAACCTAAAACACTGTCTAATACTTGATGGCTGCTTTGTTAATTCCTCGTCATCAGTTAGGAACCTAGGTGTGGTCACTGATGGAGTTTTTATTTCTTGCCACCGTCACCTTTGGCTTACTTAGTTGGGGATGCTTGACTGATTGCACAGACACTATTGGAAGAGAGCTGAACTGAAAAAAAAACCCACTATAAAGCACTTTACAAAAAAATTGGAATAAAACATTATACAGTACACCTAGGGCTTCAGTTATTACTAACGACATTATTTCACCATTTCAGTCGCTACGAGGGACCAGGCAAGGATGGCCACTCTCTCCACGCCTATTTGCATTATTCATAGAGCCCTTAGCAGCTGCAATAAGACAAAATGGATAACAACGTTGGCTTCTCAATAAAATAAAAGCATCCATAAAATTTCACTATTTGCAGACCATATTTTACTGTACCAACAAAAATCAGAGTCACTCATAGAAGTTATCAATCTCATTAATTATTATTCTAAAATATCAGATTATTCAATAAATTGGTCCAAGTCTACAATTTTACCAATAAATAAACAGTGTATAGAACATCTGAATATCCCATTTAGAATATGCAATATCACATATTTAGGAATACATATCTCTCCCAATTTGTCAGATTTATTTAATCTTAATTTTATCCCACTACTCAAATCTATAGAGAATGACTTAAAATGTTGGATGAACCTGCCGCTGTCTTTTATAGGAAGAATCTCTACAATAAAAATGACCATGATATTACCAAAAAATAAACTATCTATTTACAATGATTACTATTAAAACAACTAAGAAATGGTTCCGCACATTAAATAGCAAGATAAATAATTTCAATTGGAATAATAAAACACCCATAATTAGCATCAACACACTACAAAAAAACAAGGACATGGGTGGATTAGGGGCTCATTTTCACTATCTTTTAGCTGCACAGTTACAGTATCTCTGAAAATGGATAAACGGCAATCATTTCCATAACCCATGGTTAGATTTAGAACAGGCAGCATGTAAAAAGATCCCATTATCTGACTTACCATACATTACTGATGCAATTAAGACTCAAGATTTATACAACATAACAATTTGTGCAACTCTATTAGCATGGTGGAAAATTAATAAAAATAAATCATAATCCAATAACGCCACATTCACTCTCTCCTGTTTGGCATAATACAAATGTTTACCATTAACAGATCTCCACTTATTAATGAAAAATGGAAAGTAGTTTGCATCACACATTTACATAATCTCTTCGTGGATAACCATCTCACAGATTTTTCAGATTTGATACAAAAATATAATTTAGATAAAGATCAATATCTGTTTTACCTACAAATTTACCTACAAATTATACACTGCACTACTAAGCACAGACACTACATATTCAGTACCAATTAAATAATGGCAAAACGACCTTCACTATAGATGACCATTTTTGGGAACAAGTCAGTTTAAATACATTTAGTTTAAGCAAAAACCCCTAATCCAGTTCAAAGTACTACACATTTAAGTTACACAAATGCGCCAACAGACGGCTGTATGGAACTGTGTGGTCTATAGCCATCTTACTTTGACAGTGTCATACTGGCTCAGATTGTGCGCGTTTGAGACGGAGTCAAGAATGTTCTTCGTGATCCTTAGAATTTGTGCAGTATTGTGTGCGTTATTATATTTGTGCAGTATTGTGTGCGTTATTATATTTGTGCAGTATTGTGTTGGTGCATTTGTAATTACTTGTCAATTCTGTAAACGAAACAAAAGCTTTAATGACATTCCCAGTGTATTTTAATCTTTTTTTAGAATTCATTGATGGGATATAATACAGTTGAAATGGTGACTGATGCATTTAAATAATGATATGATTACTTAAAATACTTCATATGGGATAGATGTAGGCATATTACTTATGTGAATGAAACACTTTATCATGTTTTTGTAAAAAAGTTTTTTTTAAATTTTTTGGTCGTGGTAACGCAACTCCATTATTTCATTGATGCTGTCATTCATTTTTTTCACAATATATATTATACACAGAATATTGAGATTTTTGATCTTTATCATACATTTTTTTTAAAGATCTTAATCGTCAAGTAATCTAACATTCAGCTGCTTAAATGTACTTGTACGTGGTGAGTTTGTGCTAAAATGCAGTGTCATTGTGTTAAGGTTGTTAGCGGGGCGTTGAGGGGCTCATCGGCGTCCCCTCCAGCTGATGGCACCCTAGAAAACCCCCTAGTGTGCCTATGTCAAGAAACAGCCCTGGCAAGAAAAACATCTTTTGGCAAGACTAATAATTTACAGATGAACTGTATTTTTGATCAGTTAAATGCTACATTATTGACATAGGCATCAATTTGTTTCAAAGATGTCTTAGTAAATCCAAACTTTTGAACAGTTTATTTTCAGTATCTGGCGTAACAAGCTGATCAGCTTTGGCGAGCGTGTAATTTCAACTTTATTTCACTTCATAGTTTCTGCATTCCCTAACCCCTGACCTACAGGTAAACCACAAGGTCTGAGTGGCCTACATTATTAATCTCTCTTTTCTTAGCCCTGAACTCATTTTCAGGAGTTCTGCCTTACTTTCTACAAAGATGATCAGCCTTTCTTCTTCCTTGCTTTTGTCCTTCAAGCGTCACACATTCTCATTCTGGGACACTGACAAATGGAGACATCAGCATCAGCGGCACATCTTTATCGCCCGTGCCGAACAGTGGGAACAGCTTCTCTGAGAACGCTACTGTAAATGAATACACCTCAGATCCTGTCTTGGCATTGTAGAAGACCAGCTGACCCTCCTCACAGTCCAGATAGATGCCGATACGCCGCAAGTGACCCGTGACCTTAACCTTAGCGAGAGGCGGTGCGGTCAGAGCGCGTAAATGGTTCCCGCTCCACCACAGCGCGTAGTAGCCAATGGCAGGGGTCATGTCAAACAGACCTTTCCTCTGGGCCGAGTCACGCACCACTCCCAGCTTCCAGTCCTTATTCTCACCAACATTTACCTGAAAGTGTGACATTTAGAACTTTAGTGCTAAAAATATAACTTATTCAGATTTACATGAAAAGACATGCTGAGTTTTTGTGTGCATTAGTGTCTAAAGCATTCAACCTCCCAGTAGTGTCTTCCAGACTCATAGCCGTCTTTCGCGAGCACACAGGACCAAACATCAAAGCGGTGCGAGTTGTTCCTGTAGAACTGCAGCTTCTCGCCGCGTTTCATCTGTTTGCGGTCGTCTGAGAGGATAAGGAACGGGTACGCTGTAGTTGGATTCAGCGTTACGTCCTCTGAAATGAAATGGATATTTCATCAGCTCTTGAATTTCACAAGTTATACAGAAGTTTCATAGCTTTAAAAAAGAATTGAAAAAAGAATTAAGGCATGACTTTGCTTAGCGTGCACATAATATACAGTATATTATAGAAAATGAGGCTATGAACGAAATATAAAGAAATGCAACAGGAGTCAAGAATACTTACCAAGATAGCTTTTAACCTTTTTGTGGCCTAAAAAAAAAGAGAATATTCTATATTAAAGGGCAGATCTAAATCACAGATTGGATGCCAGAAGGTAAACTGGCTGTATATATTTTCACTATTGTGCTAATTGAGTTGATTATCTGAACGTTCTCCTTCTAAACTTCATCATCTGTTGAGCTGCTTTACAGGTGAAACTGACGTTGTTTCATAATTGACACCGTTCCTTGTTTATTACTGCGAAGCTGCTTTGAAACAATCTGTATTGTGCTATATTAGTTTCAATCATGACAGCCCAGAACAGCTTAGCATGGTGATGGGTATGACAATGATAATTTGTTTGGTCTTGGTGGAATAGATCTGAAAGAACAGAGTCATGCTACTGTGAATACACAGTGGGCAATTACATTGGTATGATTTACTTTTTACTATACAGTAAAATGATCCCTATTATTGTCATTACTGTGCAAAAATGTATTTATCTACTGTATCTTAAGTAATTTAAAATGCAGCGGCATAGCAAAAAGAGGCAGTCTCATCAACTATACACCCACTATACACTAGTGGTTGCATGAATACTAATTTCTGCTAGTCAGTTACTTAACCAATTCAGAAAATGTTTTCATTTGGAACAAGTTCAGCATGTGTTGAATGAGTTGCGCATCCAAGAAAGTGCTGTCATTCTGTGGATCGAAAGCTGAAAGAGCTTCAGTTAACTTGTTGTATCTTTCTCCAAAACACTCAGACATTTCTGCAAGCACCACATCCAAAGCATTGTAGTATAACTGTCAAAGCTCCTCTTGATCTCCCATGTAACCTTGAGCCTGTCCAATGCTCTCCTCCAACAGTTATTCTTGAAAGCCTTTGTTAATGTTGAGTTTTTGTTTGGAAGTTCTTGGCATCTCAGTGTCTTCAGCCTTCTCACACAGCTCTAAGAAGTCTGATTGACAGCACAATTTTGCAAGGCATTCTTGACATATCTTAGCAGGTCTGTGATCTCTGACTGCATAAGTTTGTTTGGAGCATTAATCAGCTGTAGAATCTTATAAGACCATATGGGCAATGAATTTAAAGCTTGTCTCTGATTGTGCTCTAATCAGACCGTCTGCCTCCATGTGCATCTCCGTCTCCGTCAACGATTGTAATGTCTTGAGAAGAATTCAGAATTGATTTAAATGTTAGAAGATGCCCTGTCCACTGCTGTTCAAGTAGTCTCTTAAGCTGCTGTCTGCCATGGAAGACTGCAACGGTTGTTTTTTAATGAATATGTATAGCAAGTTACAAATGTCAAAGAAGTCTTCAACTGCCAGCAGGGGAGCCACTAAGGGGGGGAAGTTAGGACGATTCTAAGGGCCCACGCACTTTTGGGGCCCCCAGAGATCTGTTTTATTAGCAGTAACAGCTAATACTGATAGCAATGCAATAGAAATTATAAATGAATCTACTAAAGAATTACAAATAAAACAAATTACGGCTTATTTCTGCATTTCTGGCAAAATTATCCCCTCCCCCCCAATTCACTGCATGGTCCCTTCAAATGGAAAACTGACAGGCTTGTGCTGCAATTCTATGGATGTTTTGCCCGCCGGGTCTTCAAACCAGTCACATGACTGAAAACTATGCATTGTAGTCTCTAAATGTGATAATGATCAACACCATTGGTTCCAAGCGCTGTCAATGCTTTGTAAAGCCTTTTAATCATGCCAGTAAAGCTACTGGAATCTCAATTTACCTGTTGCTGATTGCGATGCAGATTTTTTCAAATAGAATGCACATCTCGACCACAGAACGTCTCTGTTCAGGGTATGTAAACACTCAATTCTATTTTAAAATATTGCCCTAGTCACACCGAGCCAATATTTATTCTGATGACTTTCGTGTGACTGATCACGCTGTAGCTAGTATGAGTAGCCTAACAAAATGCTTTCTCTGTCCAGATTTGACTACAATAATAATAACTGACACTTAAAATCAACATTTAAATTTCAACTTTTACTAAATGTAGTCTTTAATCATGTCTGAAAATATATCAATGAATAACCTGATACAAGTATGCAATATACCTGATACAAGCTTTATGTCACTCTTAAGTTCTCACTCTGCAGCAAACGGTTTATATGTATTTATATATAGGGCTATACAGCCATCTAGAGGTTACACCATGATATTGCAGATAATAAATGGTGCATAATTTAGAGGTTAATATTTAGTAAAATCCCCTTAAAATAATAAAAATATTAAAGATAAATAATATTATTGAGCTCAAATCGCAAAAGCACAAATACAGATCGTTCTCATATATTTCTGTCTTCATTAATTTGTATGTTCATCTGTAAGCGTTTGGGCTGTTTAATATTAGGGTTTTGTTTAAAATCCCCCACCGCGGCCCTGCCCCCAGCACCCCCAGATAACATATGTTCCCGCGGCTATGGGTAGGTCTCTGATTAAATACTGATACCTAGTGGTCAAAAGCAATAGTAAAAGCAATAGCAAAAGTAATTGGTCAGTATTATTAAATTGCAAACAAAGATTTTGGATAACTAGGTTGGCTTGTATGTTTGGTGCGGTAGGGGGCCAAACCTCATTTTCTTTCATAGGGCCCAAAATTGCTAGCGGTGCCCCTGACTGCCAGCATTGCATGAATGATCACAAAATTAAGCTGAAAATGGAAGCAATGCACATATGGAATCACTCTTCCTAATTTGTCCTGTTTTTTCAGTTGTTGTCATTTTAACAAGTAAATACAAAGTTCTGTCATGATACTCTAGATGGCGTGGGCTGATAGGTTCTAACCAATCTGATATAATATCATTATTCACATGGCACAGCTAATTGGATTCTTTCACATCAGCAGCCAATGAGCTCGCTGCTCAACATTCAAATACTTGGCAAGTGCTGCTGCAGCAGTTGCAGCACACTTCAGAAACCCTCCACCTTCCCCAGCTCCACCTCTATAGATCTGCTACAGGGTGAATTCATGTATGTTATATATGGGGGTTATTTCATGTATGTTATATGTGCAGCAGCAGTATTTCCTACAAGCTCGCAGCAGCATATCTGTGGATGTATTGGAAGTAGCAAGTCTCGGTACATGCTCTGCCGCAGCAGCAGCAGCGTAGCAGATCTATTCCGCCAAGACCAAACACATTAACATTATCATGTACATTACCAGGCTACAATAGTCCAAATATAAGTAGAATAGGTACCTCTTAGTTTCAAAATACTTACAGTATAAATGATTTGTAATTTTACAGGTTGTTACCCCTTTATTCCCTAAACTTCGCATATTATTCCCTTATACCTACACGGAGGTACTGAATAGGTACACTATAATTACAAAAAAGTTACGCTGTAACTTCAGTTTACTTGCGCAGTTCTTTGCAGGTTGCATATCTGTTTGTTACCCCCTTATTACCCAAACGTAACACATTGTTCCCTTATACCTACACGTACGTTCTTTATAGGTACACTATAA